AGTAACCAGAGACCGGCAAGCTCCGCTTAGCACGGTTCGAGCGCAGCAAAACGAGAGGCGCTTCTTTTCAGGTGACGCTTTGTAGTCCGGGGGCGTATCTGGCGCTCAGAAGCGAGCGTGCGCGGTTGGAACGGCTCAAGGTGACCTTGCAGGCCGAGAGCAACGTCTCCAGCGAGGAGAACGGCGCACGTGCCGCATAGCTTTGTCACCACCGTTTGCGCCGGTCGCTAAATTTCAGCTACTGCTGCCTTAAAAGGGACATTTAAAAGGCTCTAGTTTGAGACTACCTCTGCCACCCGAGGCGCGAGAGAACGTACGCGAACGCCGGGGTGACGTTTACGGCCAGCACGACCCACCGTGGCTTCGTTCTCTCCCAATTAGGTTTGTATTCCGGCTCTTTTCCTTACCCGAGTCTCTCCTTGCTCTCCTCCGGCGTGAGCTGATCAAAGGTTTTGGCCTCATCGGCGCCGAGGAAAGCGTCGTGGTCGTAGTCGAAGTTCTGCGCGTCGTCGTGGACCTTGTCGCTGAGCTGCGGGTCGTGGTGAACCCGGTCCTTCTTCTCGGTGGGTTTGCTGGAGATGCAGAGCATGGAGAGAGACAGGCACAGGAGGAGCTGAGGGATGGTCATGGTGGTTCGGACGCACCTACGGGACAGCCGGAGAAGGGGAAATTTAGGAGCTGGCGTGGCGACAGGGACGCCGGAGCGGCACGCCGCCGGTTCCGGGGTGACAAACCAGAACCCCAGACGCCAAAACGGGGAGAGCGGATGAATTAATACAGGTTATCTGGGCAAAGCCATCTCCGAGCCTCGCGGCGCTTGCAGGAAAGCTCTTATTAACACGTGCCCCGAGCAGCTCCCCGCTCCCCAACCCCTCGCGCGAGCCCCTCCGCACGGCAGAGAGCAACAACCGCGTTCGCTGGAAGGAGAGCCTGCTCGGTGAGGAATGCGAAGGACGCGCGGCAAACGTGCGCGGCAGATGGCCCGTTCCGCGGCCCCTGCCAAGCCGGTCGCCCTCTGCTCTCACATCCTCCCGCCCAATTCCCTCCCCGTGGGGCTCGGTCTCCCCAAAAAACCCTCCTTCCAAGCGAGGTATGCGGCTTCGGAAGCTCCTCCAGGACTTCCGATACCCTGGGTCGGAGCGATGCGGACGAAAGCCTCGCCCGCACACGTTTCACCCTTAACTCAAGCCCCACCGGACTCGCCGCACCCATCTGGAACCCGGTTCCAGGTGCCGGGGGGGCGACAGACGCACACGACGACAGAGACGTTCAGGACGCGGCGATTTGGTCAGATCAGTCAACTGGCTGTTGGCCGGGCCCAGAGAGTTGTGGTGAATGGAGTTCAATCCAGTTGGCGGCCGGTCACGAGCGGTGTTCCCCAGGGCTCAGTACTGGGGCCGGTCTTGTTCAATATCTTTATCGATGATCTGGATGAGGGGATCAAGTGCACCCTCAGTCAGTTTGCAGACGACACCAAGTTGGGCGGGAGTGTTGATCTGCTGGAGGGTAGGAAGGCTCTGCAGAGGGACCTGGACAGGCTGGATCGATGGGCCGAAGCCAGCTGTATGAGGGTCAACAAGGCCGAGTGACGGGTC